AGGGTCAGTGGGGTAGAAAGGAAACTTGATTTGATATTAGGGAAGACCTCATTAGAATATCTAGACGTTGCTTGGCAGAGCTTTCAAAAACTGCATCTATGCTGTGTGATGCAAAAATACGATTGCTTAAAATTTATTAGAGCAAAAGACACATTACCATTAATTTCCCCCAAAATCCTCCCCCTCACTTTGAACACAATTATTCCATTATTCTTGCCACTTTCTGAAGCAGGTCTTAAGTCTTCTTTTGTGTCTTTGGTTGCACTGTTACAGTTGCCTCGATGTCCTAAACTGATTTAAAACATTTACCTTTCATGGTCATTTTGACTTTGGGAAAAAGTCAGAAGTCACAAAACGCCAGGTCTGTTGAATAAGGCAACTGAAGACACACTATAATATTTTTATTGGACAGAAATTGCCATAAACAGTTGATCAATATGGGGTGATAAAACAATAACCATGAACATTTAAATAAAAGGTCATTCTGCTTGGGAATGGCAGGCATCTTTTCCACTGATATTTCACTGGTCAAAGCCGGTCAGGTTACCCGGCCAAGGAGGGTCCCAGAATAGCTCCCCTTGCTTTGAACAGTTGGCCCATTGTTTTTGACACTGTGTCTTTTATTGTAATGTTTTTAAAACATTCATTGTATTTTTCAGTCACCCTGTCTACATGTCTTGCTCTTTTAGAAGCCTTTTTTCTCCAACATAGTGTGCCCTTACCTATGTTTTGGAAGTCTAGGAAGCTTGACTACATCTGTGTTGCTATGGTCTCATTTTGTGTTCCTACAAAATCCCTATGTTGGAACTTAATCGACAGTGGGAGGGCATTTGGAGTCATTATTTCCTGAGGGCAGAGCCCTCACTAGGGGGGTTAGAACTGCCAAGAGGCCCAGAGAGACCCTTTGCCCCTTCCACAATGTGAAGGTACAACAAAAGCAAGCTGTCTATGAACTGAAAAGCAGGCCCTTTCCAGATACCAAATCTTCAGCATTTTGTCTCAGCCTCCAGAATTATGAAAAAAAAAAAAAAAAATTATGAGAAATAAACTTTTGTTTATAAGCTGCTCAGTCCATTGTACTTTTTAAAGTAACAGCCAGAACGGACCAGGACAACTATGAACATCTATGACAAGTAATATTTTCAGGCCAACTTTTGCTTTTGTATTTACTTTTTTGCCCTGATGGGTAAACAACTCAGGGTTGATGCATGCCAGGCCAGTGTTCTACCACTGAGCACCCAGTGCTTTTGTATGTTAAATTTTGATGGCTTCTTTCTTTTGGGAAGGCCTGCTCAGCTGTCCCATCTAAATCCCCACTACTGTTATCGGAGTTCTAGGGTGCTGGGGGCTCCTTCTAGAGATCCCTTCTAGGTTCTTATCATGCTGAACAAAGAACTGGTCAAGACAAGCACAAAACGTAGCAAGATTTTACATTTATTAGAGGTAGGAGAAAAATATGCTCTGCAGAGTGAGTGCAGGCCAATTAAATGTAGGGAAAGTGTACAGTGTACAGTGAAGTGGGCCACTAAAGAGAGACAGCACAGTGGCAGAGCCTAGTGGTGGCCATCTTTTGTGTCTCCCACTCGTCACACTCATGTCTGGTCTAAGCTATCCAGCCAAAAACTTGCTCGAGTTCTTGTAGGAAGTGAGGACAGCACTCTCTGATTGCAGGTGCAGGGCTTCAGATGAGGACTTGGATCTCTGTGATAGACAGGTCATGCCTACTTGCCCAGCCAGCTGGCCACACCCTAATTTCCTGCCTCGCTGACCTCAACATATGGGGCCAGTTACTCACTTTGCTATGATTTTAGAAAACAAAAGAGCTGTGTGCACAGGACAGATGTTGAGTGAAGATCTATGAAGCTCCAGAGGAATGGTGCCATGCTTTGTGCTTTGCCCCATTCACATGTTCAGTGATGATCCATGATCATCCATCAGAGGCTGGTTGTGCACCAGGCACTGTTCTGGGACCTGGTAATGCAATACTGGCTAAAGAACATCTTTCCCAAGGGATTAGAAATGTCCAGAGACATGTAAGTCTATGGTACCAGTATAGTGGAAATGCCAGGCTGAGAGTTACACCAAGGTTGGTTAGTCAAGAGAGGAGGGGCCAGCCCTCAGACATGAAGGGCTGTACTCTTAAGACTTATCTGTCCTTGAACAAAGATGAGGATTTAACTGAGTGTGGAGACCAAGAAGTTATGGGGGAATGTTTGAATTCATTGATTTGGTATTCTTAAGTTACTAAACAGGAAAAAAGCCTGTCTTCACCTTGACACACGTTATTACAATTCAGCATTTCCACGTAGAACTGGTGGTCTGTAGACTCTCAAACACAGACTTTTACAGCTTTTCCCTATAAATGTGGTGATTCAGAGGCAGAGGGGATTACCACACAGCCACATAAGGGCTGTTGAGTCCAGAGCCCCTCCTTGGCCGACAGCCCTGTAGGATAGTCTCCTTGGGCTCATCCCGCTGTTCCTTCTGTTCTTGCCATGCTGGGCTTCTTGCCCTCCCTTGAGAGGCCTCGTGTTCCCCACTAACCCCGTTTAGGAAGCCCTGTCCAAAGACTGTGCGGCCCAGTCTTGACTCAGCCCTGCACAAGTGCCTCCCCTGGCCCACCCCACCTCATACTCTTACCCTTTACTCTCTCCATAGCTTTTGAGACAGGTCACTTGTGTGTTTACCATCTGCCTTCCGCACTTACTTCTACGTAAGAGGAAGGGTCTCACGTTCACTGCTCTACTCCCAGCTCCTAGAATCTATCAGTATAGGGCATCACAATTTACTTACTTGGAAGTCTTACTATGGGTCAAAAGAAAATGATCATAACACTCATTTTTTGGCCTTGTGATATCTACAAATAACACTTCTGTATTTACTCCATTTGATGCTTAAATGTTCTTTTGAAAAAGTATTGCTTGTTTTGAGGTATTTGTATGTTTCTATGTTTTGAGAGCATCTCAGTAGTTAAAAGCGTGAATCATTGCCGCTGAGCTAAATCCCCAGCCCCTAACCTACATTCTTGTCAGGATAAGAATACTGTTCTCAATGTGTGCAGAGCAGCCGTGGGATGTCTTTCTCAGGTACCTTACTGCAAGTCAGTCACATCCAAAGTCCCTTCATCCTTCACTCTCCCTGGCTTAACTAGTTCTTTCCTTCCCCTTCCATCCGGACCCAGAGGCCAACGCACGGGGTCCAGCACTTAGCTGGCCTCCTGTGCTGAGGCAATGGCGCCCCAAGAGGCCTGGGTGGGTAGCTACCGGCTCCCCATAGGTGAGCGTTGTGTCAGGCTTCTTGGACAAGGTTGGCTCCTGGCCCATAAATTCCACTCCCTCATCTATGAAACGAACTAAGTGTATTTCCACCACATTTTAACAAAATCCAGGCATTTCCTTTGAAGGTTTTGTTCTGTAGCAATAGGAATTGTAGCTTTTATAAAGCAAAATGTCTAGAGAAAAAGACATGTAAAAATAATCTCATCTTTCAACTGACACCTCTAAATACAAATCCGAACTCTGTGTATATGTGCATGTATGTTTGTTTGAAATGTCTTTAAATAAATGCACCGGACTGAGGAGGTCACAGATTTGGCTCTCGTGCAAATCCTTAAATCAGGTCAGGAAGGTTTCATGTTATCTGAGGATAAGCGAATGGAAGCACTTTCAAAATTTCCCACTTATTAGCAGTCAATAATGAAACTGAAATTCAATTAGATTGAAGTAACTGAAAAAAAAAAAAAACCGGAAACAGTTAATCAAACTATTTCCAAACTCAAGAACTCATGTGGCCTGAACAAAAGATTTATAGTCATCCCAACGAAAGCCAGGAGGACACGCAGAGAGACAGAAAGTCTGGCACTGCACAAGGATGAAGCATGTGCTGTTTTCCATTTCATTTATGTAACCTGGTTTTAATCATTTTCCAGAAATGTTTCCAAATTAGAGAGAGACCTTTAAAATATATTAACAAGATGAAATTCTTCTGTCTGGGGTTGGACCAGACCTCGCAACTCAGCCTAAGAACTGTGGCACAAACCCTATACAGATTTACCACTGTGCCTCTATGCCAGCCCCTTAGGACAGTACTTACTTTTATATAATATAGAATTTTCTGCCTTTTTACTGTTAAGTTGAAAAAGAAAAACCTAAACACACCTAACATGACTTTTTTCGTGATGAAAAATAAACACGTATCTCCATAGGGGGAGAGAACTTTTGAAGGATTTATAGGGTTTATATGGTTTAAAGCCACGACAGCGGCATTGTTAGGAACAAACACGGGTCAGGTTTGCAGTTAGGCACCAAGTGACTGCATCAGAAACATCCCTCGTGAAGCCAGACATGAAGCCACTTACCTGTAAGCCCAGCACTCTGGAGGCTGACGCAGAATTCTAAGTTTGAGCCGGGTCTGAGGAACTTAGAACATGTCTCAAAATATAAACAAACAAATAAATGGACTGGGGATGTAGCTCAGTGCAAAGGCATCCGGGGTTCAATCCACAATACTGGAAAAAAAATAAAAATAAAAAGACATCCCCCACCGAAAGACTACCCCTTAACAAAGCCCAAGATCCACATACGTCTATTCATTACACAGGAAGAAACCCCCAGGACCGTGACAGAACAATTTAAGAATTGAGACATAAGATGGAAAGCAAAGTCAAAACAGGCATTATATTGGACTTAAAAGTTCAAAGGTTAACTCTATTATAATGTTTTTGCACTAGAGTGTACTAAAATGGACAGGTTGCCAAAACAGATTTGTTTGGTGAATGCCACAAACAGTAACTAACCCAAGGTATGGCTGGGGAAAAGGAGACAATGGTGTGTGAGCGGGAATCAAAGGAAGGCAGGGGACGCAGACGGGAGGCACGGGCTCCCACCAAGAGCAGCTGCAAACCTCTTCAATCACTTCTGAGCGACTTGGCTGTTATCCCTGGCTCCACTCACTGAGGTCCACCTGGAAAGGTCTTGTTTGATGGGGATGAAAAGCCATTATTTAAAAAAGAAAAACGAACGGTCAATTTTATTTATGTATTATACAAGAAAGATTTACACCAGTCTAGCCTTTAACATGTAAAAAGTAAATCTCCATTCACAAAGTTAAATATAGGAAAATACAAAAGCAGACTGAATTATCAAAAAAGAAAACTTTTTATTTTTTTACCACTAATACAATTAGTTTCCCTGATTATAATCCATAATCAGTGTCACCTAATACAGGAACATCTGTACAGAAGTGAACAACTCCTGTACCTCTTTATATATATTAGGACCACTGAACTCAGAAAAAAGCAGAGCTGGGCTTGTTAAATTATTGTTTGTTTTAGAAACTCCTACCATCTGAAGGAAGTAAGAGGAAGATTTAGGTAGCAGAGAACTTATACAATAACTTAAAAAGTTAAAAGCTTGTAGTGATAAAATAATCCTGTGCACCCTTCTTAGCAGTTCTAGGAAAATGGCCTTTTTGCAGATCCCAGGTCCAAAAAAGACAACCAATCACTGAAACAACTGGTTCAGTTCATTTGCTGTATGGCTGATCGTGGTGCATTTCTGGTGAATAAGTCAACAGAACGATCATGACCCAGAGGTGAAGCAAAGCCTAAAAAAAAAGAGCAATTTATGGATTAGCTGGTAAGTCCACCTTTCCTGAAGGGCCCCGTGCAGTGCACCAGGGGCAGCACCCAGGGCTTCTGTCTCTGCATTCCCTGTGGGGCGCACTGAGTGTGAAACACAGTGGGAGCTCAGTTTCTGTGTCCTGGATGAACAATGAGGGGACACATGAGCAAACAGCTCCGTCAGCTCAGTAACACGAGTTGCTAAACCTATGCAGCTCTCAGTGCTGCAGTTCCAGCACCTGCGAAGTCAGCCTGTTGGGCATATTCTACATCTGTTGGGCATATTCTGCATCTTTTCTGATGCTATCCTTTTTTTGTTGTTGTTCTTCCCGTTCCCTTCTTAAAAACTTTCCATTTAGAGGAATAGTTCTCCCCTCTAGAGGATCAAGAAATTTCTCTCTGAGTGGGTTTTTATTTCTTCTCAAGAGAACAGTCCAGCCGCTCTGAGGCCCAGCCTCTGTGAGACACACCCGCTCAGTACAGCGAGTGCGCTGGAGGCACAGGGACACATGAAAGAGCAGCCTGCACTTCTGAGACTGCTGTACTAACGCTAAGACATCTGGAAGAAAACAGGTCAGGAAGTAAAGCCACACACACGAAAATAGCTACAGCAAGTTTACAACGCCAAAATAAAAATGAAAGCAATTGCTTTGTACTGTTTTTACTAGAAGAGCTTAAAAATGGAGGTAATATTGAACAGCATTAAAGTTAGTTATATTTGTAGGCAGAGCCTTTGAGAAATTTTTATTCTAGACATAATGAATTGTTAACTTATAATCTTTTAAAAACAAATTATAAAACAAAAACAAAAATGAAAAAATTATAAAAATGAATTTTATCCTCTTCCAAAACTACTAAAATACCAGTAAGATCTGCAGCTGAAAAAAATGAGTTCAAAATCAAATGCAGCATTATTTTTCATGCAAGTTTACTCACCATATATATAATTACAAACACTCGTGCTATGGGATATCTTCGGAGAAAAATTCCCAGACGAATACTGTGCAAACAGATGGGGAAGAAAGAGAGAAGAAAATTACACTTGCAACCAATCTTTCTGTGTTAATATTTAATGTTATCTTTAAAATTTCACCCCTTTATACTATTCATGTGGCCACCATGGAAGACTGATGCTTTATAGGTTGTTAAAAGATATCATAAAACCACTTCTCACAGAGATGTCATAAAGAAATGTCACAGTAAACACTTCATCATTATTTAGGTGTGGCTGTTACACTTCAATATAAGGTATTTCTTGAAATTCCATGGCCACAGTTACTAACAGACAGAGCCACAGAAAACCCAGCAGACACTTGAGGAAGTAGGTATGCGAACAGTATGATGCCCAGGCCCTGATGCTCGTGCCTCTTTGCAATAGTCTTTACCAACCAAGATGGACACGAGCACAGGCAAATACACACCTCTGCTTCCTTTATTGCCACTAGCACAACATATTGCATAGGTTCTATAAAAACTGTATACTGAACAAATAGAGAACTGAAATACATTGTTAATTTGGAGATAAACACATCCCATTCTAGTCCCATGGGTTCAGGAATTTTAGTATATCATTCTTACTTTTAATACTATAGCTCTACTAGGACACAGGTAAGAAAAGACTGTCATGCAACAATTCATTAAAATGTATTTAATAAACATTAAGAGGAAAAAGGGTGTAACTGGTTCCTTTGATGTGAACTTTATCAAGGCTTTATGTAAACTATTAAAATGTTTTCTATTACAGAAATCTTATATAAATATATAACATAAATTCTAGATGTTATTTATGTGATATATATGAATACATTAAAATGAATATTGTTCACTTATATTAGTATCATTTTTTCTAATAACATGATAAAGTACTATGATAAAACACAATGGATACTTTCACATAAGATAGAGGCTTTCACATTGAGACTTAATGAGTTTCTTTTTCTTTTTTATTTTTTTATGCGTTTTTTTCAGGTACTGGGGATCGAACTCACGACCTCACGCTTGCCAGGCAGGTGCTGTGCCGCTGAGCTAAATCCCCAGCCCCTTGAGTTTCCTTTTAATAGTGTTTATTGCAGAGAAAAGAAAATGGTCAGGCTTAATTATCTTTAATGAAGTGCCAGCACCGTCAGACCTCTTGAACCTATTGCACGACACTGAAATATCACTCAAGGTATAATGAAAATGTCACTTTATCAGCTCTGCTGCACAGGATACTTTGTGCTCGTAGCCACTAGATACTATAAAATAGCTGATGGTCGTCACTTGTCCTGCCTGGTACCACTTACCTAAACTGGTCAATGGAACTTGCAGCTTTGCGAACTTTTCCATACATTCCTGCCAGATTAGTTTCTGAGTCATTAAAAAGAACAGGAACATTTCGCAGACGTGTGCCTATTTAAATAAGAGAGGAGATTTAAGGTATACTGCAATTATAGTTAGAAATTATCACATGGAAGAAATTCTCAAGGCCAACTTCCTAAGCATTACATTGCAAATTACAGTTGGAAATACAGCACACATGGAAGAAATTCTCAATGCTAACTTCCGAACCACTACACTCAAAGTAGATGAAACAATAAAGACAGATAAATTCATTAAGTTACCATATGCACAATTTTTAAAAATAAAAGTGAAGAAAATTGTTTTAGCAAAAATGAAAGTGTTTACAAATGCCCAGTGCTGTCGAGAGTCAGCGTTAGCGGGCTCTCTGCTCCTGACGCCGCCTCCCACAGGCTGAGGACTTGGGCTCCGCACGCCTCAGCTCATCCAGTGCCTCTGCACTTCCCTCTCGTGTCTTATGAATGCCTAACACTCAGCAGGCCCAGTACCAGAACTCTGACTCCACACTCTCACCGCCAACCTCCCACTCCTGATGCTCTCCCTGCCCAGGGCATGAAAGCTGCCACTCTTCCTCTGCTCTGGCCAAAATCCTTCACTCTTTTCCCTCAAACTTCACAGCCAGTCTGCCAGCAAATTCCATCAGCTCCGTAAGTCCTCCAAACACTCCCCAGTCCCACTCTTCAAAACTGCTACCTCTCACATGGCTTAACGCACGGCTCCCCACCTCCCTGCCTCTAGTCTTAGTCTTCTGCAGTCTACTGTTTCCTTTTGCAGTGCCAGAGGTTGAGCCTGGGGCCTCGTGCCTGCTAGACAAGCGCCCTACCCCCGAATCACATCCTCAGACAGAGGATGTTCTTGCCCCAGCAGCCAGAGCATCCTGATAACACGCAAGTCTGCCCAGTCACACTCCTGAGCCATTCAGTGACTTCTGATTTTCAGAGCAACGCCTTCCATAGGCCAGGCGCGCACAGCCGCCCCGTGCTGTGGACTTGTCCTACACTACTCCGCGTTCACCTGCTCTCTTCTAGCTGCACTGGTCTTGCTGTGCCTGAAACACCCAGGCACACTTCCGTGTCACGGTGCCACCTGTCTCCCTGTCAGAACCTTTCTCCTCTAGGTCTCCTCACAGTTATGTCCTTCCCCCTTTGGGACTTTAATAAAATGGCTTTTTTCAACGAGATCTCCCTTGACCACTCTAATTAAATTAGAGTATAATTGCAACCCCACATTTGTGACACGTATCTAATTTTTTTTATCCCAGCACTTGAGAGTTGGAGGCAGAAGTATCACATGTTTGAGGACAACCTGAACTACACAGTGAGACCACGTCTCAATTTAAAAGATTTTAAAAGTCAAAGACTAAAAGATGTGCTGAATAACTATTTGTAGGGTTTATTTGGTTCAAAGATTAAAAATAATTTACTGATGCGTATGTTATTCTTTTTTAGTATATGTTCTTAGAATCTACAGATTTCTCTCTTAAAATTGTAGAGCATGGCTGTACATATGTGAATTATGTGCTAGTGTTACTGCTGTAATTATTTAGTGTAAGATCAGTAAGACAAACTCTGCTTCAAATTTCCTAACAGCTCCTCTCCGCTAAGCTACCTGCCTTGCTGGTATCACCTTGTTCAGTCTCTCAAACACTTCCATTCAATTATCGACTCCCAGGCTGCTTTCTCCAGGTCCAGGCCCTGGGACAGAGAGAAACTGGTACAGTACGCATCTCACTAGTGATTACGCTAACACACGTGGCCCAGGTCTCACGGGCAAGACAATCAGGTCTTCCACTGGATGATGCTTCTTTTCAAACAGAAACGGTCCTTTTGCAATTTTTCAAAATCTAGCTTGATTGCCACACTTGCTCTGGGGTTACCTTCGCCACTGTCAACTGCAGACATGTTAATCGAGGACCCGTTGCTGGTGCTCGCACACGCAGAGCTCATCTGCTGCTCGAGGCGCTCCAGCTGGAAGACCAGCGAGTTCTTCTCCGTGCTCAGGCTCTCCAGCATGGTCTGCTTCTGGATGAGGGTCTCTGTCAGCTGATGCAGCCGGCTTTCCAGCTCTGACTGACTGCTGTTACTTAGTGTTTTGTTGGTGAGCTGCAAGGCACAGTGTTCATAAAATCATCAGGTAAAATGAAAGTCATACAATATGGAAGTCACCTTGCTGTATTTTCACAGGTAAGCTGTAGCATTAAATCCAAAGTCTGGCGATTCTTTCAGTGTCTACAGATGTGATTTTCAAATTACCATAAGCCACAAAATACTTTTCATGGGTCAAAAATCAGCACTTAAGAAACAGAAGTGGCGAGTGGTGGCACAAATCTGCATGGTGCACCAAGAGGAGGACTGCAAGTTTGAGTCCAACCTGGGCGACTTAGTAAGACCCTGATACAAAAAAAAGGAATGAGAATGTAGCTCCGTGCAAAGGCTCTGCGTTCAGTCCCCAGTACCCCACCCCGACATAACAGAATATCCAGGTGTGGTGTCACACACTTGTAATCCTGACTACGCAGTAGGCTGAGGCAGGAAGACTGCAAGTTTGAGGCCAGGTTGGGACTCCAGTTGAGCAGTTAGAACTGTGGCCAGGTTAGGCAACTCAGTGAGACCCTGGCTTAGAATTCTGCAAAAGGGCGAGGGGTGCTAGGGTTGGGTACGAAGCTGAGCACTTCTTAGGTTCAATCCCCAGTGCTGATGGGGGAATTGAACGGAATGTTTTTGGATATTCACCTAACACATGGTACAAGAGTATTCTTTTGTGAAAGGTGCCTGGTTTTGCACGTGTAAATGCACGCTGAGTACTGAGACACAACACAAACTGCGTTTTTCACTGTGGTACCACAGTAAAACACTTGAAAGCATGTGTTTGTAAGTCACAGCTCTAACTGCTCAACTGGATCCCAATGCCTCCCACTGCACAGCTCTGGTGCATACGCTTAGGTCTTCATCTCTGCCCTGCAATTTCCTAGTTATCTGACTCAAGACAAAACAAACAGTATTTCCATCACCCATCACTATCCTGTTTTCTATTCCTACTGTTTGGTTTTGCTTATTACTGAACTCCTATAAACGGAATCATACAGTACGGATACTTTTGTGCGAGCATTAAAAATGAAAGACTCACCCAAATTCTTCCACAGTTTTAAGTTCTGAGGGGCTTGGAACTTGTTTACCCACTCACCTGTTGGTGGACATTTGGGTTGTTTCCCCTCTCACTATTCACGAACCCACATTATAAATGTTCATGTACCCGTCTTTTTGGGGACACACACCTTCATGGGTATGGAGTAACTATCTAGTCATGGGTCAGATGAATGCGAACCTGACCAGAAACTGTGGTTTTGTACTGTAGCCATGCTGCTGCCCGAGCGGCTACACCGCAACAGAAGAGACTTGCAGCTGTGCCAGGGCTTCCCCGACACCGGGCCGCCAGGACTTTACCTGCAGCCATGCTCGCGGGTGTGGAGCAGACCGCGCTAGCCAACCTGAGCACCTGTTCCTGTGCTTATCTGACCCCTCCTACGACTTCTTCAGGGAAGGCTCTACCCAAGTCTCTTGTCCATTAAAAAACTGATTATGCATCTTTTTATTAATAGGAATTATTATTCTGGCTACAAATCCCTGGTCAGATATGTGTTACAAATCTCTCAGTCTGTGGCTTTCTTTCTTTCATTTTTGTACCGATAACTTCTGATGTGCAGAAAATTTTAATATCCTAAGAAACCCTAAGAACTTCCTCTAGGTTGCAAAAACATTCTCATATTCTTTCTTTTAGGTTTCACAGCTTAGCTGTGGCTTTATCACGAATTAATTGTTAACTTTACAAATCTACTAAGGGGACAATGATTCCAGTTTATCATTCCCCAAGTTCCAAGCCCCCTCAGAACTTAAAACTGTGGAAGAATTTGGGTGAGTCTTTCATTTTTAATGCTCGCACAAAAGTATCCGTACTGTATGATTCCGTTTATAGGAGTTCAGTAATAACGTTTTTCTACTTTCATACAGCAGTTTTAAGGAATAAAAAAACACTCAAATTGTCAACTAGTTTTTTTTTAACCAACACATTGTTCTCCTAGGAGGACCAAGGGTAATAATAAGGCAAGCAGAAGCAGCATTCTTATTCACTCAGAATAAATCTTAACTCACTCTGGAATGTCTGTAACGTCTTAAGATGCTAATTTCTGTTTAAATTGTACAAATTAACTTCCTCCTAGTAGATAAAAGTTTTTTTTGTTTTCTGTTCTAGGTAAATGAACAATCTTTAAAAGAAATCCTTCTATGATTAATTCTTGATTTACAAAACTAGTACAAAGCTGAGGGTGTAGCTCAGTCTTTCAACTCAATCCCAGCAACAAAAACAAAACAAAACTTCAGACAAATATTTAAATATTTTAGACACCATAGGCACTCAATGAATATGTTGTAAATATAGAAATGCTTATCTAAGGGTTAAGCCAGCCAGTGGTTTTTACTGCTTTCATTTCTCTGATGTTCTGCAAGGAAGTCATGCTGCTCTTTGTTAGCATTTCAGGACTACAGGCAAGGGAAGAAGGAATCTTCAAATCAGCTGTTCCCAAGTCTTACAAAAATGAAGGCAAAATAAAATGTTTTCAATTATAGTCTTTTACTCTTCAAGTCTGAGAACTTAAAAATTATTTGACTCTTCATGGTTCCAATTAGGTCATTAACTAAAACTAAAGAATCTGTAAATTTTTATGAACATTATTTCAATGTTAATCACTATATATTAAATCAACCTAAATATAAAGGAGGGAAGGACAATGTACAATTACGGAGTGAGTGAACGAAAGACAATGTGTAGCAAATGCAGAAACAAATGGCTTACAAAGAAAATTCTATAGCAATGTAAAAATAACACAGAATTTGATGAAAACAGGAAAAGACCTTACTGTATCCTCCATTAAAAAATATAGCTTTACACTGACATCTTTTCTTTAAGTTGTAAATGCAGATTCTTACCTGATTCCTGAGTTTTTGAATTTCTTCCTCTCGATCTTTAATTCTGCTTTGCAATGTGTTCTTTGTTCGATACAGATCATCTTCTACATAGTGGAATTCCTACAAAGTGGAGTGAGCATAAAAGCTAACTCAGTGCTCTCTCTTCCATCTCGGTACCTAGAATAGGGCCTGCCCTAAGGTGGACACACTATCAATACGTGCTAACTATACACTGAATGAATAAATGAAGAGATGTGGGTGGGTCTGATGAAGTTAACACTTCAGCATGATGCTGTGAACACAGGCCCAGAAATCTGTTAGCAGGTGCTTGGCCAGGCGGCACATGCTTATAATCCCAGCACTTAGGAGGCCGAGGCAGGAGGATCACTGTGAGTCTGAGGCCAGCGTAGACTACATAGTTAAACCTTGTCTCTAAAAAACAAACAAAATAAACTACAAAATGCAGGACTACAAAACGCAGAAAGTATTATCCAGCAGGAGTGAAGAACAGGTCATTCCTTTATGAATCTCAAGTATGTAATAACAAAAATGACACTGCTGAAGTTTATATTCCCTATGTATGAGATGAAGATTGACACTGTTAGCAATACAATTTTCAAATTATGTTTTATTATGCTTCAATCATTATGTTATGTATCAGCTAAAAATATAAGTCCACGTAAATAAACTAGAAGCTATATTAGAAATGTGGGCAAAGCACATGAGAAATAAAGACGAACAGTAAAAATTCAGTATGGTGGCAGAGTATAATACGAAAAAACTCCATAGTTTCTTCTGAGGCAGTTAGAAGACATGCATGAGATAAAGATCCACTATGAAATAACTGCAACAGAGAACAGCCAGGAAAATGCTGAACAGGGGAACAAGTGATAAAGATATTAAATCATAAAATGCCAGAAATGAAAAGCAATGTGGTGCTGGTGCATAAATGGCCAAACTGACCAACGGAAGAGAGTAGCTGTCCAGAAAGAATCTTGACACCTTGAGCATTTTAGGACATCTACAGATAAACTACTTTTAAAACTAGTACAAGACACCTAGGTGGCACCAGATGAAAGAAAGCAAAAATCGGATCCATACTTTACCTTATATGCCAGAAATGAATTTCTAACAGATCAAAGAATTATATGTAAAACCAAACCATAAAAACTCCAGAAGAAAACTACACAGGTAAATTTTTTAGTAATTTCAGAAACAGGGATACTGTGACTAAAAATCTAGAAGCTCTGGTAGAAGAAAATGATAAAGTTGACAACATCAAAATCAAACTTCCACATGGCACAAAACAAAGTAACAGCCTATGCAAACTAAGATAATTGACAAATTGGGAAAAATTTCTTATAATTCATATCACAGACAAAAGACTAATCTACCTAATATCTCAAGACCCTACAAAGTGATTTTTCAAAAGACCAATACACAGCAATGAAACAGTTGTCAGAAAAGGAAATATAAATGGCCCTTACATACTATGAGAAAATGGTTAGCTTTACTCAGTCACAGAATTCTACATTTAAATTGCCCTGAGATAGGATTTTCCATGTAGCGGATTGTCAAAATCCAACATTTTAATAGCAGAATAACACACTACATTTCCCCACTCTACAAGGGAAATAACTTTAATATTCCGTTGCTAGATTATCAGCTGGCAAAAGCTTCATGGAAAGCAACGTAGCAAAATCTGTCAAAATCACAAATGCAATGTATCCTTTCCCCCAGTAATATCATTTCTAGTAACAAACAGGGAAAACTGTTCACGCTCCCTACTAATCAAAGAAATGCAAATTAAGCGGTAAATTCCCATATGTAACCTATTAATAAAGCATATATATTTTAACTACATCTAATGGTAAGGATGCAAAGAGAAATGTTATCACCCTAAAAATTGACAAAAACTCTTAGAAAATGTAATTGGCAAAATGTATCATAAGCCTTAAAAGATGTAGCTTTTAGCAGGGTATAGCTCTTAGCCAGGCATGGTAGTGCATGCCTGTAATCCTGAACTCAGGATGGGAGGTTAAGGCAGAAAGACCTCTACAAGCTCAAGGCCAACCTGGGGTACACAGTGAGTTTAAGGCTAGCTTGACTCCACAGTCAGATCCTGTCTCAAAAAACAAAACACACACACAAACACACACACACACACACACACACACACACACACACACACAAATGGCCCAGGCATATAGCTCAGATCCTGTCTCAAAAAACAAAACACACACACA